TGAGAAGGCACTGGTGCATTTTGGTGCATTGATGCTGGGATGCTTACATTACTGCGATTCAGCTGCTTTCAATACTGAAATAAAAATCTAAAACTAGTTCTTGAACAAAAAAAAACTGAAAGGAGCAATTTGGAAACAAAAAGAAGTTACACCAAACTGAAAAGAAATTTTTAGATTAAAGTAACTAAAATAAAAATAACATGTAAAATTTTGACCCAGTATCATAGGTAAAGTAACAGATGCATTTGCATTATTTACAAACTTTGAATTGCAGCAGCTTGATGGAAAAAAAAGAAAAATATATTAATGATACCTGTGGATGATATCCCAAACCTTTAGGCCATCATCCCTGTAGAAGAAGTTTGGCACATCCTCTAGGCCACGTTCAGCAATGTCATCTGGCATACAGACGGAGCTGTAGGTTAATGAGCACACTGACCTCTGCAGGATCGTAAACATGCCCTCTCCACCTGACCCTGCAAACTACACAATAAGCAGCTCCTGGTTAGAGACAAATGTTAAACATGAAATAAAAAAACAAAAAGCAAAACATTCTTTAAGTAAAGGTCTAGTGAATGTGCTGTTCTTTGCGTACCTGAGTGAAAGCGCCAGTGTCAGAAATGAGAAGGCGTCGAGCTAAGAAGTTGGTCTGCAGAGTGTAGCGTGTGTGAGGTTTGAGGAGCTGAGGGAAAGAGGGAACTCTGTTAATGACATGATTGGGGCAAAACTTTAGTATTTATTATGCTGAGGTACGCTGTTGAACAATCAGTGGTCCTCTGTGGACACATTGATAAGAGACTCATATGCTTTCAACATTATTTAAATTCAAATTTAAATTCAAATTTTATTCATCACACACATAATCATACAAATTACAACATGTAGTGAAATACTTATTGCTGTGCAATGCCCAACCATTAAAGTACAATAAAGAAATTTACAAATTTTACAGATTTTAAATTCTAAAATTTACAGTTAAAAAAAAAAGAATGTTTAAATAACAATTTAATAATGAAATTATAGGAAGAGTTCAAGTAAACAGTGCGAGCGGTGACATGATTTATGAGAGAAAACTGAGTTTC